TGAATGAAATATCAGAACTGATCTATTATTTACGTTGTGCAAACACGAGACTTCCCCCCCCCCCCAAAACCCCAAAGGCATTCTTTCGCTATACAAAACACAATAAGTGGGGTGGGGGGGGGGAGTAGCGACACAACAAAAAAGAAACATGACTTGTTATCATAAATTTAACTTAAATGAACACTATATTTTTTTTTAAACTCTCTGAGTCAACTGCGTTGATTTAAGAACGCTAGCTCTGTATTTGGATCAAATGCTTTATTACGTCGTAAAAAAGTGTTAGAGCGTAGGTCTTAACTTTTTTTTCTTTCAGCATCACATCCCCACCCCCTTTTACTGATTTTAAAACATTGCCCTCCCCCAATTGCCCCCTCCCCCTATTTCGATTCAAACCATGGTTCCCGCACCCCTAATGATATATAAGTCTTTTCTGGGGCGTCCTGCACCCTGGACAATACCGCCCGCATTCACCGGGGGTTGAGGGCGCCCACCCCTGGTTTGAGACCCCAAAAGCCAGTGATTCATCCACCATGCACCCGGTGGCATTGGCGAGGTCGTGACGTTCGAACCGCTGGATGAATCATCGACGGAATCAGATGACTGGTTACCGTTTCAATGGTCGACAATGAACATCCGTCATTACAACAGGGTATTACAACTGAGATGTTTTAAGACTCTCGTCTGAAATCCCGCGTCAGTCTCACAGATTCCAAACTTTTTTCCAAAGTTTTTACAGAAAAGATACAAAATTTATTGGACTTTTTAAAAAATCTTTCGGCCAAAAGTCTCTTTGACTATTAACCAATCACTGGTTAAGGGTTAACAAAAAACAAAAATGGAACTCATTTTAAAAAAAAGGTGGGGAAAACGCGGGAGAAGGGGTGGCAATTAATTGGAGGGGAGATAGCGGTTTCAATAACGTTTTTAGGCGACATGATGTGTGGGTAGGGTTGCCATATCTAGCTGGGACCTCGTCGGGACACTCTGAGATGGGGGTGTAGAAATGAAGAAAAAAAAACAATTATTTAATATAATTACAAGAAGGTCCATAACGATGACGGTCCTGATCTATCGGGACGGATGGCCACCCTGCACGAGAAGTAATGGGGTTAGGGAAAATGGCGGCTGGGATACGCATATAAATATGAACGTGTTTGTTAAGGTCCTGCCTCACTATGTCGTCCACTTAAAAAACTATTGACTAGTGATGTTGTATACCACTTTTTCCAGTTAATGTATATTGGCTTGTGTTTTTTATGGTTGAAAGGGATGAACGACTTTGACTTGGTATGCTCGTATGTAATTTTTGTAGTGTTGCGTTTGTTTTTAAATGTGGTAATTATTGATTTTTTCTTCATTTCTCTTTTTAAATATGGTTGACTTTGTACTGCGCTTCGAGCTCTTGGGGAAGAAGCGTGTTTTTCAAATAAACGTTATTATTATTATTATTATTAATATGTGCAGTGGCGTAGCTAGGTAGTGCCACCCGGTCTCATTTCTTCATTGACATTGGCCATAAGATTAAATGGATCTTGCGTAGTCGCCTGGTCGAAAAAAATATATAGCTTCCGTTCTGATATGGTAGTTGTTTTCCCAGCATTTTTGTCCATAACTAAGAACACCCAAGACATTAATTTAAAAATAAGACAGGGAAATGGAACTTCAAGTTGCTTTTTCTCTATGCGGAAGTCAACATTCCAAATGTTTGATTTACCTTGTTGATCCTTCCATTGATTTTATTTGTCGGTCACAATCCCAATGTACTCAAACGTTTCGTCATTTCACAGTAACATCTACTGTGATTTGCTCCCAAGGTACTCCAACTCTCTCTCTCGCTCTCTCACATCCACCACTGTCCTGTTGTTCCCAGTAATTACTGGGCATTACTTCTCATGAAATGAGTTTTTCCTAATATTGGCAGTTTCAGCTATAATGATGTTTTTTGTATACCGGTATTTTAGGGCATCATGGTACTTTCTAGACTGGACCACTGTCATATTCATGTTCAGGTCTTCGAGAACCGTCGTCAGCGCCCATTATACTACTGCTTTGACTTTAGTAAGCTCCTATCTTCCATAATTTCCCTTCTTTTGTTTGATCCGAAATGATAGCATTTCTCTTGCTTTTTTTTGTTCATCATATCTACAAGGACAACCCCTCCAATCTCCCTTTGCTTCTACAGTGGCCTGTTGTGTCGGTACGTCATTTTATCCATTTCTGCGACTGTCTGTTCACATAACGGGACGTAACGTTGGACACTCATAATTTTAGTTTTGTCCAAGCTGATCCCAATGCATACTTGATCATCTTCCTGTTTCAAACAAGTGGTCATTTTTTATAGGCACTGTAATTTATGCCAGCACCACTATGTCATCAGAAAAATTTAGGACCGTTTGTGGAGCCTGATCAATACATTGTATGCCCGCTCATGGTGCTGCCATTCTGATCCATCCATACTCCTGGTGCTGCCATTCTGATCAATCCTTTTTATGCCAACTCCTTCATGGTGCTGCCATTCAGATCAATCCGCTGTATGTCCACTCCTGGTGCTGCCATTCTGATCAATCCATTGTATATCCACTCCTGGTGCTGCCATTCTGATCAATCCATACTCCTGGTGCTGCCATTCTGATCAATCCTTTGTATGCAAACTCCTTCATAGTGCTGCCATTAAGATCAATCTATTGTATATCCACTACTGGTGCTGCCATTCTGATCAATCCATTGTATGCCCACTCCTGGTGCTGCCATT